GATTTGCCCCAAGTCACCAGCAGAAACAAGCCGGCTACTTGAAGACTTAAGCTTATAATTATAATGTTAGAAACAATAAAGAATTAAAATACTATCCAACATTTTACATGATTTCATAGATCTGATTCTACGCTGCAGTAACTGTGGATGTAGTAGCAGACTGCCACCAATACAGCAGTGACGTCACGGGCGTCTCGGATGCAGCTCTAGTTAGCTGTGGAGGCAGTAGTAGACTTACTGCAGGATGCTGCTACTACCACCCCACAGCCACCGCAGCAGCGAACAAGACACCCGTCACGTCACGACGGTAGCGGCGGCAGCCCGCTACTACCTCCACAGCAACCGCAGCCGCGAGGAGCGCGGGGGCAGGGGGGGGGAGGGTTCGTCACACATAAGCCAGGACGCTGCTTCTTCGCTGTATGCCCGCGCCCGGGTGCGATCAATGCTCAGCAAATTGCGTTACAGCAAATCTCGCGGACGGATTATGAGGACCATGCTAGCCGTCCGGCCCGCCCCATATGACACCAGGAGCACGCGTCTCTCGAAGAGTGCGCATTTGACCCACGGCACAAGGGTTTGCACCTTTGACCCACGGCAAAGGGTTTGCTGACTCCACAGCTTGAGCGGAACGGCTCCGCTAAACCCTTCCACACTGTGGGTGTCCACATCCCCACCACCACCCCCAGCCCTCGGAATAGTCGTGCCAGAGAGAAAATCATTCAAGCTTACTCAAAGAGACTTTACACTATAATAAAATAAGTGGGCCAGCTGTAATCACTGTGACGCCAACTCAACTTATATCTGATGATTCCATGGGCCGCACGGCTGATGTCCAGGACAGGTGCACCTCCAGACCGATCTTCCTGCAACAAACCAAAAAACGCAATTTTATAGTTGAAGAAACAGGATGCAAAAGAGGCAGGAGCATGCAATTTCGACAGAGGAGGTCAAAGGCGACTCTCCTAGACCAATTCCAGTCAATCCCAGCGATTTTTATTTTTTTCATTTTTGGCCAAATTTACAAAGGCTGTATTTTTAGCGAAAACCATTCAGAAAATGCGCCCGCTTTTCTGGAATATATGTGGCAAATGGCGGGGGCCGGACGCCTGCGAGGCTCAGGGTAGGCCACTCCGCAGTACACGCGTGCAGCGCGGGCGACATGTTGCCTACCCATTAGGCGCGATGAGAGCTTGGAAAGGCTAAACTTGGCTTGTTCGTGACGGCGAATGGCGGCCTACTTTCTAGATGATTCCCCGGGTAACTTAATCAGCACACACCCCGTTGCCATCACCAGAAGCACAGCGGGGCAGAAGAGCAGCAATTCTGACGAATTGCGCGTCATAGCGACCGCTATGGATACACCTCGGTTCCCTCGATCACCGAAGAAGCCCACAGACTAAGCCTGGCGGTTTGAGCATTTACGGCACTACGCGAATTGAACTGTATGCGCCAAGTGCCATAGTGTTTCGTAGCTGTGCGCATTTACTTTGGCTGGCCTTGACCTATTTTTCAGCCCAAGCTAACCCATGCCACGCATTCCTGGTTTTCAGATGACATGTGTTGTCGAACGAGTTGAACAACCACGGGGCATTCTTTCCCATCGCTTGTCAATATCCCCCCACTCCCACCACCCCCTCGCTATCTCTTTCTCTCTCGCTCCCACCACCCCCTCGCCATCTCCCCCTCTCTCTCGCTCTCCCTGGCGCAGCCCCATTGCCACCCTCGTGGGTCAAGGGGAGGGTTCGCTCGCTAATTATACGGGTGACCTGCAGCGCCCTCGGGATGTCAACCTCCTCCTCCTCCCCGCTCGCCTCCCCTCGCCCGCCGCACGCCCTCCTCCCCGCGAGTCTCAGACTGATTGATACGACTCTCCCACTGTGAGTTGCGCTCCCGAGCGGTTGACACCCTCCGGACACCCCTACACTCGCCACCATGGTGAGCAGCGTCAGCGTCAACCCCTCCTCGTTCGACGCCCGCGTCGAACGACCTGAACCGCGGCCCACGGTTTGGTCTTCACCGATGGAAATCCCCAGCAGTGTGTCTAACTAAACGTTTGTCTCTTTCCTTCCAGGTTGAAGACCTCACGAAATCGCAGACAAAGAGTAAGTACCTTGTTCGACGGTGACGTGTGCTGCGACGTGGCGCCGCTCACGCGAAAGTGTTTAGAGGGTACCGGGCTGTTCGGAAACCACGTAGACTTTAGCGGAAGTGCGGATACTATAGTATTCCAAAAGGATCAGGACGGTCAGTGGAGTCCATGGAGGCCACATGACAGTTCTACGCCGGTGTACACATATCACGGTGTTATGGACCCCAACCCCAATGAGCGCCGTTGTTACTTTGGGACCCCATAATATTTGTACCCCCTGGTGGCTCCTGAACGGCCCCCTTACGAAGCACAGCTGACCGACACTCCTCCTCCTACCAACAGTGCTGGAGCGCGTCTTCCAGGACTACGACAAGGGCAAGACTGGCAAGATAAACGTGGACGAGATCTACGACATGATGGAGCAGATCGGCGCGGGCCTCAACAAGGCGGCGATACAGACTATGATCCAGGAGGTGGACACTTGGGGTGAGTGATCGAGGCCGCCGCTGGTCGGGGCGCCGTGAGGGGTAGGCCTCCCATCCGCCGTGCGAGGGCAGGCAGCCGGCCACCTCCACGGCGGCGCTCCGCGCCCCGGCCCGCGGGAGTACGTCCCGCGAAGAAAATCACTGTACGCACTCCAAAAACAATTTGGAAAAATCAGAAAAATCCAAGGAAAAGTCAATTTAAAAATCATGAAATTTGGTGCACGTTTGAATTTATAGTGAAATACCCCTCACCTTGACGCTCTCCACAGGCTCAGGGGAACTGGACTTCCACGCGTTCGCCACCCTGGCCGCCAGGTTCATCGTGGAGGAGGACCCCAACAAACTGCGAGACGAACTGAGACAAGCGTTCCTGTTTTTCGACAGAGAAGGTAAGCGCACGTCGCGAACTGCCGTGACATGTGATTTTTGTGTTGGCCTGAATGACGAATCAAATGAAGGCGCGTGATATAGCGCACCTATAATAGTGTGACATTTGGATGGATATCTGTTGATGAATTGCAATTCATCAACGAACGCAGATCATGTGAGCTGTAGGATTTGAAAAGGAGTCAACCCAACGTCTCACTTGTGTACTCACTAATTGTAGTCCGTTTAAAACAAACTAAAAAGAATTGCAGTGTGTGGTTGCGTTCTATCGAACCGTTTCAAAAATGAATTGCTGACCCTCGCATTGCATTGTGGCACCGTGGCGGTGACAATGCTTTTGGCTCGGGCCTGATGTGGGTCGCAGAGCAGAGCCGTGACAGCTATGTAATGGCGACGTTTATGCGAGCGAGGAGCGCATTGGCGCGCGTGTATCGCGATCAAACACCGCCCCTCCCTCCCTCTCTCTCTCTCTCTCTCTCTCTCTCTCTCTCGCTCGCTCGCTCCGCACGACTGCTAAGAAGGGAACACATCGGCCGATGCGGCTCGCCTGCTAAATTGTCTCTGCACTCCATATACACTTAGGCTGGAGAGAAGGGCCGAGCCCTCACCTCGTGCAAACAGGCTGACACGAGCGGCCGTCGGCCGTCGGCGATCCCCCTTGGGGACAAATTACTCTGACAAAAATGTTTAGGAAAAACTGATTTGACAAAAATTTGCTTTTTAAAATAGTTTTAAAAATGCATCGTAACAATGTTTAAAAAAAATTCTTGTGATTGATAAGTTACAGGTAAGGTAATAACTTTGATTTCTCTCAAACTTACTTGTTTACTAGGTAATGGCTACATCACAACAGACCAGCTCCGAGAGATCCTTTGGGAGCTGGACGGCACCATCGGGGTGGAGGACATGAACCAGATCATGGAAGAGATTGACGCTGACGGATCTGGAACCGTAGACTTTGAAGGTAAGGGAAACGAAATCAGCATTCACAAATTTTTAAATACATTCCTTACATGCGATTTTTATTGTTTCGTTTGTTTATTTTAGAGTTCCTGGCTGTGATGATGGGAGGTGAGGAAGAAAAAGAAAAGAAGTTTGTCGGCGAATAAAAATTTCCTATGTCTGTAAAAAAAAAATCCCCGGAAGAAAATAATTAAAAAAACTCAATTATTTAAAAATGTCTCTGTGTGTCATGTCTTGTCCCACTTCCCAATCACTTTCGCATGGTCCACAAATTGTTATTTTTTTATAGAGTAAATTAGAATTAGTCTAGTGTGGCTCCACAGCAGCCGCGACCACCGCTGCTTCCGACAGTGATCTGGACCACCCGCGGGCGCCGCCGCCGCCGCCACCACCCCCCAGGTCTCCAGCTCCAGCTCTATAGCTCCACGGCGCAGCATTTTTGCATACCGATCCAGTGGGGCGTGTGTCCCAACGCTTGTGCAACCGCGGCCGGCTGTCACACACACACACACACACACTCACACAACACTAACCTGCAAGTACTCCCCCCTCCCCTCTTCTCTCTCTCTCTCTCACTTCCACTCTCACTCCGTGCCTCTCCAGCAGGCGCGCGCTACACTTTGACTAGGTTACCAGTCTGGTGCACTAATTCACCGTGAACGACGCCCTCCACCCCTACTCCTCAGCAACCCAACCCACCACACCCCGCCTAGCCCCACCCCACATCACCCTGTTCGACAAGCGCTTATTGCGTCTGCGAAACCGTCTTAATTTTTTTTTAACCCTTAAACCGGCAACCATGGAAATAACCTTTAAAATAATTATTTTTTGCGACTTCCTCACTATTTAGGCATAAAATAATACGAATTTATCGATTTTAGTGTTTGGTCGCGTCCGAAAGTGCTTTTTCTGAGTTGATGTCCAGGGACATCACTGCCGTGTAGTCGAATAACCTCACAAATTTAAACGGGCTTCCTGCCGGAGGTTTCAGGGGTATGCTTTCCTTCGCAGTGCGGGTGAGGATGCGGAGTTGGTTGAAAGCAACCCTAAGTCATTATTGTATCCGTTTTATAATCAGACAAAGTGTCGACAAAAAGCTAAATTTCACAATTTCCTCAATATTTTGGAAAATACTTCATGTTCCCTAAAAATATTTGTTGTGGTAAACAAATCACATTAGTTTGGAGGTGAAACACGCTTAGTCAGCCTTTGAATGAAAACACACTTTTATCATATCCGTTTTATATCCAGAGAAAGTGTCGACAAAAAGCTAAATTTCACAATTTTCTTAATATTTTGGAAAATACTTCATGCTCCCTAAAAACATTTTTTGTGGTGAACAAAACACATTGGTTTGAAGGTGAAACACGCTCAGTCAGGCATTTTGGATGAAAATCCACTTGATAAAATTGAATTTCCTGGCCCGGCAGTGATGTCCTGGGAAATCAACTATTCCACGGCATTATTGAGTTAGGCAACATTGAAAATACACTAAAATATTGATTGATCAGCATTCTCAAAGGCTCATTCGAGCTTGGAAATTTTTTCCGAACTGTTTTAGTCACTAACCTTGCCGCGGCACACCTCTAAACCTCGCCGAGAGCTCACAGCCGCCAAGCCGGAGTGTCATGACGGTCTTTGTTTACACACACACACAGCGGCCGAATCGATCTATTCGATACCTCGAGAGTCGACTCAGGAGCGTTAAATCTATCGATCTGCGTCGCGTAAAAGGGGCTATCATAAAATTTAGCCTCTCGGGAATGAACGAAAGTAGTTGATGTCCGTGGACATCACTGCGGGATAAAGGGTTAAAGGCATCGGTGACATGAGAGAGCAAGAAAACGATCGAGGGTCACAATCCCTCTGTCTCTCTCTCTACGCGTCTCTCGTTATGTC